GGACAGCAGCTGAATTAGTAAATTTACCAGAAACGGGAGGTCTACAGTGAATTCCGACAATACCACGACGTTCTCCTCGAAAAACCACTCAAGATAACCTCAAGAATCACTGAAATCGGACCTAAAATTGGTTGAGAAAACAAGTTTCAAACAATTCCAAAATCTAGCTCACAAAAAGGGGTCGTGGCAGCAGGTATTTTACGAAATTTACCTCAAACGGGGACCCCAAATCAGTTTCCGAGTTCACCAACACGCTCCTTGCGAAAACCCCCACAAAATGAACCTTTGAATCACTGAATTTGTACTTGAAATGAGAGAGTTATGAGAGTTTTATGTTTGGGAAGTATTGCTGATATATCCGCATTATATAGCAGATTTTCTGCAATTTTTTTCCCAAAATTAAAACCTCCGACGGGGTGCTCCGAACTCGTTCGGAACCCCGTGCGCGCAAACGAGATATGCAACCATACCAAATTCGATATTCCGGACTCAATGGCACAATCAAAATTTCCATACGAGATCATCTCAATAAAAAGTGGGTCCCACACCCAAATGTCATTTTAAGTCAAAAACCACAAAAGAGCTCACAAAAATATCAAAAACCTCGAGACACAAAAGAAAGGTTCATCTAGACCAAACTTGACATTCCGAAGCTAACCGCACTGACGAAATTCTCATCCGAGCGCGTTTACTCAGAATGTTGACCAAAGTCAAACTTAGGCCAAATTTCAAAGGCTAAAACGCCTAATGGCACCGACTCACACTAAAAACCTTGGGAGTCATGCCGACCAAGCTACTAGCCTAAAATGACCCTTCCGGAGCTGATGGAATCGTCAAAATTGAATTCTGATGTCATCTTCTTGATCCTTTCTTTCGCGGACGGAAGTCCTTTTTAGTAGTGGATATTGTAATGACCCTCCTGGTCATTTCTGTGTCTTGCTTTCTGTGTGTCGGTTAGAGCGTTCCTGTAGCGACCCCAAGTCATTTATGACTTGCTGGGACTGACAGTTCGGTCACCTGGTCATTCGTTTGGTTATAGTGTGAGTTTTAGTGTTTTGGAGCTTATGAACCTTGAATGATCACTTTCGATCAAAAGTTCAAGAAGATGACATCGGAATCCAATTCTGACAATTCCATCAGCTCCGAAAGGGTCATTTTAGCCTAGTAGCTTGGTCGGCATGACTCCCGAGGTTTTCAGTGTGAGTCGGTGCCATTAGGCGTTTTAGCCTTTGAAATTTGGCCTAAGTTTGACTTTGGTCAACATTCTGAGTAAACGCGCTCGGATGAGAATTTCGTCAGTGCGGTTAGCTCCAGAATGTCAAGTTTGGTCTAGATGGACCTTTCTTTTGTGTCTCAAGGTTTTCGATATTTTTCTGAGCTCTTTTGTGGTTTTTGACTTAAAATGACATTTGGGTGTGGGACCCACTTTTTATCGAGATGACCTTGTATGGAAATTTTGACTATGCCATTGAGTTCGGAATATCGAATTTGGTATGGTTGCATATCTCGTTTGCGCGCACGGGGTTCCGAACGAGTGCGGAGCACCCCGTCGGAGGTTTTAATTTTGGGAAAAAAATTTGCAGAAAATCTGCTATATAATGCAGATATATCAGCAATATTTCCCAAACATAAAACCCTCATAACTCTCTCATTTCAAGTCCAAATTCAATGATTCAAAGGTTCATAAGCTCCAAAACACTAAAACTCACACTATAACCAAACGAACGACCAGGTGATCGAACTGTCAGTCCCAGCAAGTCATACATGACTTGGGGTCGCTACAGGAACGCTCTAAACGACACACAGAAATGACCATGAGGGTCATTACAGTTCCTTCCCCAAACACTTAGGATCAATATTACCCTCAATATACAACCAATCTAACTCGGAAACATGAATCAACTCACCCCCAAGCGTCAACAAACTCAACCAACAAGAATTCTACAATTTGTTCTTCAAGAACCTTACTTCTTCAACATGTAAACAACTCAAAACAATTGGATTGAACAAGTTGGTGTGTGGGTGAACTAACCCAACACGAAAAGATCTCACATACCTTAATAGGGATCACCCCGACGAATTCCACTCGCAAGCTTGGATGATCTTGACGAATTCTTGCCTTTTTCTTCCTTTCTCTCTTCTCCAAGCCCTAAGCGTTCTTTAATTTACCAAAACTGATTTAGGTTCTGTTTTCACCCCAATAATCCCTAAAATCAAATTAGGAAATTAATTAGAGAAAAGACTACTTTGCCCTTCCCTAAATTCGGATTGGGACTTTCCTCAATCCAACAGCCCAACTTCCGAAAGGCATATCTCACCCATACGATGTCGAAATCGTGCAATCTCGGCGGTGTTGGAAAGATCTCTCCAAGGGATTTCCAACCATATTAAGAGCTGCTCCTAACTCCTCCTGAGCTAGGAGTTATGGCCATTTGAAAATGGCCAAAACTCACTTTCTTAACTTAGACAAAATTTCCAGATTTCCTTATTCTTTCCAAAAATCAATATTTTCATATTTTTAAACTCTTTATAGTCGTTTCTAGGTGCGAGATGTTACAATATTGGGGGCAATTGCTAATTAGTTAAAGAAGCAAAGGGGAAAAGAAGAAAAAAAGTGGAGAGAGAAGAATGGAAAGAAGAAAAAAGGAGCTTTACTATTTCTCTCTGGCTGATTGTGGTCTAAAAATGGAATCGAATAAAATGAATACTGGACTTGGATTTACATGTGGTTCTTGAGATCAAGTTTAAAGTTGATAATGATCTCTTGAAATATTACTATTGATAATGGAGGGCTAAGTTGTTGAAACTTGAAAGGTTCCATCAGTCATAAATTCATAATGTTAGCATTCCAAAAGACTGTAGTGAACTCGAGCAATCAGCATAGTGAAAGATAAAGCAAATTGGCTTGAAGCCAAGGTTGCATGCTGCTTTGATTTTTTGTTCTGAAGTATGTATGGTAAGTAGGGCCTAGTATATGTTTCTTTGAAATATAAAGTACTTTTAGGGAAGGAGGGATGACTGGGATACAGAATTGTTTCAAGGGTATCGATATTGACTAAAAAATTGGCCTCCCTTGAAAGTACAGAGAGGGGAGATTTTAATTAGTCTCTAACGTCAAGGCTGAAGGAGAGATAACTTTGGACCTTGTGAAGGTAACTAGAAAAATGCGAACCAATTATCTGTGTCAAATAATCTGATCCAGTGGGTAGAGTAGTTTCATTCTTGACTGATATTGCAGCGATGAACCAAAAATCCTTCATTCTGATGGCTTTTTCTTAGGTGAAGAATTTAGATGCATAAACTTCAAAAAGAAAAGCTTGTGAGGGATTAATGTGAGATTTATTTCGTCTTTCTCATCTTCAAATGTGAATGTGGAATCTTTTCATCATACGTTTAGATGATGAATAGGATTTGCTTAGCTACAGCTTGCTGCTATATGCTCCGAGTCGTGAAATTGTTTTCCTATGCAGTTTAATATTTTTCTAGTTTCTGGTTATTTCAATCCTGAAAATGCTTGATACAGGAACACGACGAGAACTCTATGGGAAACAAGAGTTTCTCCAAATGTTATTTATTCTATGCATCACCTTATGAACGACACTTCAACATTGGTAGTTGGTGGAATCGACGGTGTGTTAAGAACTGTGGACCAGGTAACTGGTGAAGTAATTTCGAGATGCATAATGGATGATAGTACCACTGCATTACATTGTTCAACAGAGAGATTTGGAACTGTGCAAATTGAGAGACGGAAAGTGAAAAGGCTGTCTGAAGATGATCGAATTGATCTTATGCCAAGAACTTCCAAGCCACAAATCACATGTTTAGCTGTTGGGATGGAGAAAGTTGTCACTACTCATAATGATAAGTATATCAGAGTTTGGAAATTTAGGAAGTGAAAAGGATTCTCATACACTACCTGAGTATTTGTTGTTAGTTCTGTAGCACTTTAAATAGGTGTTGTTTGAAGCCACATTAACATTATCGTGATGTTTTTGGCATCTGACACCTCTTTCTCTTTTCCTGTGTGTTGTGCTTTACATGGACGTTTCTTTTTATTTAGATGTACCAGTTTCAAATAGATTTGACATGAGTATATGATTACTTCAAATAGTTCCTTTAATATTCTAGAAATTTGAGCATAAATGATAAGTCATACCCTATCCAGTACAGTTAATGGAAGACCATTAGCATGGCAACTCAATCCAGGAGTTCTCAAATTAAATGGAGCTGAAGTTGTGACTTCAGTAATCGAAGTAATGGGAAAATTACTCATAATATTTAGCTACCGTTTCAAATGTAATTAAAAATAATTTTAATGTGAATAAAAATATGCTTCCCTAAATACGGGGATAACTTCAGTGTTTGTTGCGATATTCAAAACTTTGACATGTGAAATTCCAACACAATTAGCCTTATTCTGAAAAGGGAAAATTATGTGTATAAACAAACATATATTAGTTAATTACTTAACATAGCTATAGTTTACCTTAATTACAATTCGCAACCTACTTTTAGCTATAATTACATGGCTCAACTTTTTAGTTTTGTATAATTCATACATTTGTATAATATAATTTGTATAACTTTTCTATAATGTAATTTTTGTATAATATAATTTGTATAACTGTTTACACTTCAGATATTTGTAATTGTATAAATTCGTTATTTTGAGTTTATACAAAAATAACTTAATTATACAAATATACTCGCGAATTATACAAACGAGGCAACTTAATTAAACTGTAGCTACAGCCTGTAAATATGTAAACTATAGTTATGGAGCATAATTAAGTTTATTATAATAATTATTTGCGAAAGTTCCCCTTCTGAAAATACGTAAGAGGTTCAAATTTTTATCAGTTCAAATTTAAATGTTGAATATAGCGTTGAAACGCGGTCCAAAATGGCTATTTGTCAAATTCTTTCCCCATTTGACTGGATTGGGCCATTCTATGAGGCCCAAATAAAAAGCCCAAATTAATGATTGCCTATCAATTTCTGACGAACATAGCTCCCCTCTTGAAGATCAGTGCAAACCCTAATTATCGCGTGAGATTGAGATTGAAAAATGGTGTGCATACGAAAGGCGACGATAGATGATTTGCTTGCGATGCAAGCATGCAATTTGCTATGCCTTCCTGAGAATTACCAGATGAAGTATTACTTTTACCACATACTTTCGTGGCCTCAGCTTCTCTACGTTGCTGAAGATTACAATGGTAAGATTGTGGGATATGTGTTAGCTAAAATGGAAGAGGAAACCACTGAGTGCCATGGACACATCACTTCCCTTGCCGTAGTCAGGACTCACCGGAAACTTGGTTTGGCTACTAAGCTCATGACCGCTGCTCAGAATGCCATGGAACAGGTATGGATTATTGAAAATAATTGATCAAGTGCTTTAGCTCTGGATATTTCGTTTCCTAAAAGAAATATGTTTTAACAAGTGATTAAATCTGGAAATTAGATTCATTTGTTGAAAGAATGATAAGTTGATTTGATTCTGGATATTAGATTGGTAGGAGGGCGTTTTGATAAGTAATTTAGTTTTGGAAATTAGACAGTTCTGTAAAAATGGATATATGTGCCAGTTGTTAACTTGTTAGTCAGAATTGGCTGATTATATTTGATGGTGAATGAAGTTTTTGGTGACAAGTGAACTTTTTTATTGTTTGGGTGTCTGGGTTGCGCACCATCAGTGTCATGGTTGAGTTGTAGATATTCCAACTCATTGCCTTATGTGCTGTTCAAACTCTGGATTGAAATACAATAGTTTTCAGCTCAAGCATTTGACTAGTTTACTCTAAAAAGTTTGGCTTGAATAGAAATTATGATGAGAAAATTTCATCTAGGCAGAAGAGAAAAATTTCCTTGAAAGGATGATTCTGGATTCATGAATGGATGCAAGTGAAAGAAGTAATCAAAATAACTACCCCGGAACATCTGTAGTTGTGTATCAATCAAGCCTGACAATTTTCTCATTGGCATGGCAACTAATCCTAGTGTGGTTCTAGATAGATGTCAGCAACCTCAGTATGAAAGCTAATGAAACTAGAGAGTTGAAAAAGATTGTAAAGCATATATATACATAATTTATACAAGGACTTAAAAACCAATATAGGAAACCACAGGGAATACCTTCTATTCGGCTTTACTCTACTATGCCTTGAGCAGGAATCCTCTTCTTTTTATGCTAAACACCCGAACTGTTTCAACTATCGTCATCGACCTTTCTCTTTTTTGATTTGATACCAGAACTCACTTTGTCCCTGTCGGCCACAACAATAAGCAACTTCTCGTTACTCATGCTTGCCTCAACAACTTGCTTTGTCTACGAGCGGATCCTTTGAGTGCTTTTCTGTTGGGGATGTTTAGCAGGAGAAACAGGGTCTCAAAATCCTCATCATCATCAGCTATCTTCTCACATTGATTAGGTGAAGACATTTTTGCACGCACTTGTTGAAAGACAAACTAAAAATAAAGACAAAACGGTGCAAAATAACTGAAAACAAGTGTTCCCAAAATCAAAACCAACATTATACCCAAACAAAATCAGATGCTTTAATTTAGCATGGTATATAGAAGAATCTAATAATCAAAAGGTAACCAAAGTAGTATACCAAAATGAAAATAGCACAAGTCTCAAAACATAATCGCCAATGTAAACACTAATAGAAAGAAACGAGAAGCTTACTTTGAATGAAAAATGGGAGCACTAAAACCAAACAATAACAGAGGAAGAAACTGGAGGAGAGTGTTGAGAATGAGAGAGAAGAAGCAATCGTTATAATAGAACCCTGTTAACGGGTGAGACAAAAATTTCAATTTATCTAGTGAATTAGTTGAGGTAGTTGGCCCCGACACCACGGTTATCAAACTAAAAGTATAAACTTTGTGAAAATATACTGTTTTTTAGAATTAAATTGTGAAGATTCTACGATGAAGCAACCTTAGCTGTTGAGCAGGTGAGCTCCCTCTTCTGAGGGAAACAAAAAGCTGAGGGAGATTGAGAGACCAAAGGGATAGTGGAAGAGAGCTAAGTAATACCTGTAGCTCAAGGAAATGATTGGGCAGTTGCGCCAATATCATGATAGCGTAAACGATTGGATAAGAAAACCAAAAGTAAGCGAACTTGTTCTGCTTATCTAATATTCAAACCGTAATTGAGGTCAAGCTTGTCTCATTAATGTACAGGCTTTGGTTGGTCAATATTTGAGCCCCATGCATTTACCCCAACCTCGGATAATGAGGATTGTGATGTGGTGAAACAAGGGTTTCGGTGCATACTTTTCATTGGTTTAAGATTATTAGTCTTGATAATTACAATCACAAATTATGAATTAGGTCATTCGTCTTGAAGTTTGGTGTACCACTTACTTTTTTATGCCAGTAGATAAAAAGATATGTCCTATGATCTTTGATTAATTTTAGACTAATAATAACACATTGGAGGTGAGAAGCCTGTACAAGTGTGGAAGTTTCAATTTAGTATAATATGTTAAAGGAAAAACATAGTAACGAGGCACATTCACTGAAAATTTGTGGATTATTCAAGAAAATTTGTGTTCCCTTCATATTGAGTCATTGAGCTTTTAGGTCTTTAATGCTGGATCTGTACCAGCCATGGGAATAGTAGTCTATGAAATCAATATTTTGGATCCCTCAATTTACCGTACCCCTTTTGGTAACTGTTATCACATTATGTCACCAATTAGCTTCTCTTTATCAAGGAGCCTTGTCGACCCACCCTCTGGTGCAAACAAAAAGAAAATAGAATTTTTGAAAATGGAGTAGTGGAAGGTCATGCTTTGGTTTACCACTAATGTAGATCTTTTGGAAAGCACAAGTTTCCGGTAGTATGTGACTATAGTATCAACCTAATTAGGTACATATTACTGGATTTTTTTTTTGAAAATGAATATTACTGGATTTTTGACTCAGTGAGTTACGGTTATTGGCTACGTTGCTTGGACTCTCCAAAAATGTTGTCGCACCCATGTCGGATTCCTCAAAAATACACTATTTTTGGAGTATCCTACACGCCCTCGTCAATATTTTTGATGAGTTTTTGGAACTTTTACTCTGCTCCTATGTTCATTCTGTCACTGTTATTCCTTGTTGATTCAATAATGTGCTTAAAGTTAAAACAAAACAGTATAATCTTATTTAGCATGCATATTGTTTGTCCTGATGCAATAATGTTCCTCAGTTGGAAAGATTCTAACAATAAGATCTAATTTTTGCTTTTGGTAAAAGGTGTTTGGAGCAGAGTATGTGTCTCTGCATGTTAGGAAGAGCAACAGGGCTGCATTTAAGCTCTATACAGAGACATTAGGATATAAGATTCATGATATGGAAGCCAAGTACTATGCAGATGGGGAAGATGCTTATGATATGAGGAAGGAATTGAAGGGCAAGAAGCACCACCAGCATCATCACCACCACCACCACGGTGGTGGGTGTTGCTCTGGTGAGGTGAAGGTAGGACCAAAGGAAGGAGCAGCAGAAACAAAAGCAGCATAATTATAGACCTAAAGTTTGGGACTTAGAAATTTCCGCGAGTCAATTTGCGCTCAAGAAATATATGTTACTAATGTATGTTTTCTACATGAAACAACTACACCTTGTAAGGTTGGATCATTGATACAATTAATGCTTTTGGTTTTCCTGATATTGTATTCACCTTTCATATCTATTTGGAAACTATTGAAATATGAATTTCCAAAAGTTATCCATCTTGATTAAATACGTTGCAACAATTTTATCTTATTGTATTTTATCTTAAATAAGCTTCATAGTTATTGTTACTAGATCATATAATAACATAAGTGTTCGTTTGTTGCATTCCTGTATTATTATTCAGTGTGTTTCCATGCACTATGGAGGTTCTCTTAAAGTAGGCATTTCATCTAATTATAAAATTTCTTTTGGACATGAAAGTCCACTCTAGACCAAGGAATATTAAATTAACCAATTTTTTCTACGATGTTGAAAAGACAGTTTGATTTAATGTAGGTTAGAAATTGTTCTGGAGAATCTGATTTTGGGAATGATTTAAAGTACCTTTTATTTAACTAGTCTCATAAAGACTTTTCTTCTCTTGATTGGGGAATATCACCTGTCAAGGAACTCTTTCTTCATTTGATGGTCTCATTGTTTCCTATTGCTACTTCTATTTTTGTGGTAAGACTTACGAGTAAGGGACAATCTCAAGTAGACAGTTCTTATGGGGCGTATGCCTCTAAAATGGTAATAGAGGAGCGCAAAAGTTTCTTCTTTCAAAGCCAAAATTGGAAATGAATTTTGACTTCTGATGATCATATACTCTATATTTTATTAATACTTCATTTTTCCGTATACAATTGATATGATAGCAGATTTTTACACAAAATCAATTAATGTGTAAGACGTCTTGAATATATAGTTGATTCTTAAGGTTAGTTGTGTAGTTAGATGTAAACATTTGATTCAGGCAAGACCACTAATCATGTAAAATTGCTCCATTTTTTGTTTAAATCATCAAATTCTATGGTTAACAAAATCAAATAATTGACTATACTTTTCGAAACCAATAGTTTAGTACACGTCTATCGTTTGTCAAAATCAGGGTACTATAAATGCTATTTATTTTATGGTATCCTTTTTGCCAGCAAATTTGACTAAGGTGATAACGTATATTTATTTCAAGTTGTCACTACTCTCATTTGTTGGAATAATCAATAATTGAAAAAAGCCAAAAGCCCCAAAAATTTTACTACTCTTTTTACATCTGAAATGACAACAAAATATAAGAGATTATTTGGCTCTTACTTCCTTCATTTCATATTTGTTGATCATCATATTAAAAATAGATGTTTCATATTAATGGTTCATTTTACTAAATCAAGAAAATATTAATTTAATTATTTCTATATTATATTACTAGTAATTTTTTTTAAAGTGTTCATATTTATTTGTAAAATTCGTAAAAGTTTTTTAAGGGGTAAATTAGTAAATTATCTTCTTATTTATGATTTCTTAAGCATCATGCAAAATAAAAAATGATCAACTAATATGATAGTACTATTTTATTTGGATGTCCTTTTGCTTTTGATTATTCCAACAAAATTCATATTCCAATATTCAATCTTGATCCTTAGCTTAAAATAAGTTGTTCCTCTTCTTGCAATAATACCTTATTAGGCCCCTAAAAGTCATCTTCTTCTTCTTTTTTTCCTATTACTTTCTCATGTTTTGTTTTTAGGAAGGGTATTTCTTGTATTACAAAAAATATATTAGACAGAAAATGCAAAAGTCTTCGTTGTAAAAGTATTTAATCATCTGAGAAATCAACTCCAGTAAAAAAAAAAAAAAACTCAAGCCCAAGAACCGAGGAGCAATTGATTTTTTAATTATTAACCAAACAGGACAAATAAAATAAAACAAGCTCTACCATGACTTGCTGCCTAACAGAAGCCAAGTTTGTCAAGTCTATTATTGGATGTGGGCATTCTCTATCTTATCTCCTTTCTAATAATGATAAAGATAAAAAATGTCTTTTTAAAATATACAATATTGAGTAATTCTAATTGTGAAGTCTTTCTATTTGAATTAATAACTACTCTACTAATTAAAGAAGGAGCTAAAAAATGTAGGTAGAAGAAAAATAGTTCCACTTCTTCTCCTTTTTTTTTATCTTATAATTCGAAATAAGCTACAAATATAAAAGAAGGGAATAACAAAGAAATAAAATAAAAGAAAGATGATTGTCTTTATGAAGAGATTTCTCTAGTTTAATTTTCTCCCTCTTTTCGTTTGTCAAATCACATTTTTATTCTTTTCCAAACTTGTAGAGCACCAAGAAAATCATTTCCTTTATATAATTAAGCTACAAATATCTAATACTCCCTTCCGTTCAATTTATTTATCTGATTTTGACTTGATATTGAGTTTGACAAAGTAAATATTAAGATTTTTGAATCATGTGGTCTTAAATTAAAGTTATGTGGCATGTATCAAAATGTCTTTAATCCTATAGTTTTAGATATGCAACTCGTAAAGTTAAAATTAAGGAGTTGTCAGAAAAGATAGAGACATTTTTTCAATGAATTAAAAAGGAGTAAAATAAACAAATTGAAACAAAATAATAACTTGTTCTTAAAATAGCTAACCGCTATTTTGTGACAAATGTATAACTTGGAATTCTAAAAGAAAAAGAAACGCCAAACAGTTTTTTGTTACATTACTTTTCTCTTTTTTTTTCTCTTTTCATAGGTGAAGCATGCGTATGAAATGAAAAAAAATAACGATAAAAAAAAAAAAAAAACTCGAAAAAATGACAATACAAACACGTCAAAAATGTGAGATGTGATGAAAAATTGTTTAGGCCAAAAAAAAAAGAGTATTTTATATGACAATATCGATGTGAAAATAATAAGGGAAAAGGTAGCATGGTGAGTCACGAAACACTACAACGTAACCAACTTTATGGCTTACAATATAAAGGTAATTTGTCTTCTTTAGCCATTACATGTATAGTTAGAAATTTAGGCATGGTTCAGTCGAATTTAATAGCTTTTATATATATAATATGTTTGTATTAAAAAGAAATATTAACTATGTGTAAATATTAAGTGTAGAATTTAATTATTAATATTTAAAATGGTCGTTTCAAAATTAAAGATTTTGGCTTTGCTAATGTATCTTGAGGATTTGTTATCATTGTTTATCTAAGTGTACTTTTGATAAATGGATACTACAATTCTTCACGTCTTTTAATTGATTCTCTCTCATATTTGTTTACTTAAGTTTGAGATAACGATTTATTGTTATACAGTTAAGGTTGCGATTTTGATAAATAAAGTTTTAAAGTTTAGCTTCGTTATTTTTATATGAATTAATGTACATTGTATATGTATGGATTATCGCAATTTTTTCAACTTGGTGATGAGTTTATGTAATTACTGATCCGATTAATTTAAATTTATATCGAATAAACACACTAAAAAGATAAACACTCCTTATCAAGAAATTCTTCAAGCACAAACAAAAAATTATCAACCATTATATCACATTTATTAGTTTTGAGAAAACTAATAACTTACGGTCAAATTCAAGAGTATTTTCAATACTCATCGGGGAAATAATTGTGCATATCTCACGTTCCATGTCTTGAAATCTGGTAGACTGCTGACGTGTAAGAAAAACAGTTGTTCTGTTTTGATTAATGCAATTTCTATTTTAGTCCCACCTAAAATTATACCCCTAATTTTTAATTCAACAAATCTTTTTTTTTTTTCAACAGCAAATCAAAACTAATACCACTAGTGTATGTTATATCTAGTTTGGTGCGCAATAACTTTTCTACCCTCTTTTTTCACATGCCAAACTTATTTCCAAATACTATACAAACATCATCACCTATAGTATTTTACTTCATAGTACATAAATATACCATTTAACTTGATCTCATTTTATATTTATACCCTCTAATTTTGAATGTGCACAAGTAGATACTTAAATTTGTATAAAGTTGAATAAATAGACACACACATCTTACGTGACATCTTACATGACAATTTGAGTCTTATGTAGAGTCCTACGTGTATTATGTCACATAGGACTCATGTGTCTACTTGTGCACATCCAAAGTTGAAGGACATGAATGTAAAATAAGACCAAGTTAAAAGGCACATTTAGACCGTCTCCAACCCACCTCTATTTTACTCTCCATTCTCTATATTTGGAGAGTAAAATAGAGAATGGACACTCCAACCCAACTCTATATTACTCTATATTCTTCATATTTAGAGAGGTGAATAGTAGTTCTCCAAATTTGGAGAACTACTATTCAC